ACCGAAAGATCTAGCTTCAGGAAAAACTTGTCCTGTTTCCTGAAGAACCTTACCTAACATTACCTAACCTTACCTAACATTACCTAACCTTACCTAACATTACCTAACCTTGGAAATAAATGGTATAAAATACCGACACAATGAAAATATAAACACAAATGCAGTATAATGTGATCCTTTATTGACAACGTTTCACCCACACAGTGGGCTTTTTCAAGTCAGATCCGTGTGTGACTTGAAAAAGCCCACTGTGTGGGTGAAACGTTGTCAATAAAGGATCACATTATACTGCATTTGTGTCTATATTTCCATTACCTAACCTTACCTAACCTTACCTAACCTCTAACCTAACCTAACCTAACCTAACCTAACCTAACCTAACCTAACCTAACCTAACCTAACCTAACTTAACCTAACCTAACCTAACCTAACCTAACCTAACCTAACCTAACCTAACCTAACTTAACCTAACCTAACCTAACCTATCCTAACCTAACCTAACCTAACTTAACCTAACCTAACCTAACCTAACCTAACCTAACCTAACCAACCTAACCTAACTTAACCTAACCTAACCTAACCTAACCTAACCTAACTAACCTAACCTAACCTAACCTAACCTAACTAACCTAACCTAACCTAACCTAACCTAACTTAACCTAACCTACATCTTTTCACTGAAACACAATTCCTCATTCACTTCTTTAGTTATTTTGTAGTTCCTAACATATCTAATATGATATTGTTAATAATAATAATAATAATAATAATAATAATAATAATAATAATAATAATAATAATAATAATAATAATAATAATAATTTATTTAGACATGATACATAAACAAAAAAGGCACAATACCGTGACTGAAACGATACACAAATAAGTCACAGTGTGACTCTGTCAATGGTCCAAGTCAGACCCAAACGTCGTCGTAAGCTTCTCTCTTTTATGTGCGGGTTATTTGTGTGACATGATACATAGATTTACAAGGAATTATAGTGGTTGGGTGTACATGGCAAAAGCCCCTTGTATGCTGAGTATTATGGACAGACTTAAAATTAACTTAAGATTAACTAAGCTATGATAGATTCAGTGGTAAAAATTACAGTAAACAATTATTATTATTATTATTATTATTATTATTATTATTATTATTATTATTATTATCGTAAGAAGGCGCTAAACCCATGCTAATGAAGATTAGCAAACATGAATCTAAGCAACTTCGATTAAACTACATTTTTAGTAAAGTTATAATCTTGCATCTCTTCAGAATTCAAAATTTTTCGATATAATCCCCCTTTTTGAAAATTTTCAACGTGATGCCTCTTGTTTTTTTTTTTTTTTAAGATGGTGTTTAAGACCAGAGCGAAATTTTATGGGATTTGTTAAACTATTTTTTATATTTATCCTGTTTACATTTCTGCAGATTTTTTTTTAGACTTTGTCTGATAATTTGTAGTTTGTTGTGGGAAGCAAATCAGTAGTGTATAAACTTTTATTTTTTCGAAAAAAAGGGATAGTTTTGTAAGGGTTGTTTTTGCAGTTGTGTATGTGTGTTTTTTTTTGTTTGTGTGTGTGTGTGTGTGTGTGTGTGTGTGTGTGTGTGTGTGTGTTGTGTGTGTGTGTGTACTCACCTATTTGCTCACCTATTTGTGGTTGCAGGGGTCGAGTCACAGCTCCTGGCCCCGCCTCTTCGCTGATTGCTACTAGGTCCTCTCTCTCCCTGCCCCATGAGCTCTATCATACCTCGCCTTAAAACTATGTATGGTTCCTGCCTCCACCACATCACTTTCTAGGCTATTCCATGGCCTGACTACTCTATGACTGAAGAAATACTTCCTAACATCCCTTTGATTCATCTGAGTCTTCAACTTCCAATTGTGACCTCTTGTGTCTGTGTCCCATCTCTGGAACATCCCGTCTTTGTCCACCTCGTCTATTCCGCGCAGTATTTTATATGTCGTTATCATGTCTCCCCTAACCCTCCTGGCCTCCAGTGTCGTCAGGCCGATTTCCCTCAACCTTTCTTCATAGGACAATCCCCGTAGCTCTGGGACTAGTCTTGTTGCAAACCTTTGCACTTTCTCTAATTTCTTGACGTGCTTGACTAGGTGTGGATTCCAAACTGGTGCTGCATACTCCAGTATGGGCCTGACGTAGATGGTGTACAGAGTCTTAAACGAATCCTTACTGAGGTATCGGAACGCTATCCGTAGGTTTGCCAGGCGCCCGTATGCTGCAGCAGTTATCTGATTGATGTGCGCCTCAGGAGATATGCTCGGTGTTATACTCACCCCCAGATCTTTTTCCTTTAGTGAGGTTTGCAGTCTTTGGCCATCTAAACTATATTGTGTCTGCGGTCTTCTTTGCCCTTCCCCAATCTTCATGACTTTGCATTTGGCAGGGTTAAATTCAAGGAGCCAGTTGCTGGACCAGGCTTGTAGCCTGTCCAGATCTCTTTGTAGTCCTGCCTGATCCTCGTCCGATACGATTCTTCTCATTAACTTCACATCGTCTGCAAACAAGGACACTTCTGAGTCTATCCCTTCCGTTATGTCGTTCACGTATACCAAGAACAGCAACAGGTCCTAGGACTGACCCCTGTGGAACCCCGCTTGTCACAGGCGCCCACTCTGACACCTCGTCGCGTACCATGACTCGTTGTTTTCCTCCCTGTCAGATATTCTCTGATCCATTGCAGTGCCTTTCCTGTTATGTGTGCCTGGTCCTCTAGCTTTTGCAGTAACCTCTTGTGAGGAACTGTGTCGAAAGCCTTCTTGCAGTCCAAAAATACGCAGTCCGATCCACCCCTCTCTCTCTGTCTTACTTCTGTCACCTTGTCATAAAACTCTAGTAGGTTTGTGACACAGGATTTTCCTTCCCTGAAACCGTGCTGGTTGTCAATTATACCCTTGTTTCTTTCCAGGTGCCCCACCACTCTCCTCCTGATGATCTTCTCCATGACCTTGCATACTATACACGTTAGAGATACAGGTCTGTAGTTTAGTGCCTCATGTCTGTCTCCCTTTTAAAAATTGGACTACATTTGCCATTTTCCATACCTCAGGGAGTTGCCCAGTTTTCAAATGATGTGTTGAAGATCTTTGTTAATGGTTCACACAATATCTCTGCTCCCTCTTAAGGACCCATGAGAGATGTTGTCTGGTCCCACCGCCTTTGAGGTGTCGAGTTCGCATAGCAGCTTCTTCACCTCCTCCTTGGTTTATATGTACCTCATCCAGCACTTGCTGGTGTGCCCCCCTTTTCTGATTTCTTGGAGTCCTACTGGTTTCCACTGTAAATACCTCTTTAAATCTTGTGTTGAGCTCCTGACAAACCTCTCGGTCGTTTCTTGTGAATTCCCCATCACCCTTCCTCAGTCTGATTACCTGGTCCTTGACTGTTGTTTTCCTCCTGATGTGGCTGTACAACAGCTTCGGGTCAGTCTTTACTTTTGATCTATGTCATTTTCATATTGTCTCTGAGCACCCTTCTTATCTGTGCATATTCGTTTCTGGCTCTTCGGCTGATTTCTTTATTTTCCTGAGTTCTCTGTCTTCTGTACCTTTTCCATTCTCTAGTACACCTAGTTTTTGCCTCCCTACACCTTTGGGTGAACCAAGGACTCGTTCTGTTCTTCCCATTATTTCTGTTTCCCTTGGGAACAAACCTCTCCTCTGCCTCCTTGCATTTTGTTGCTACATAGTCCATCATTTCTTGTACTGTTTTTCCTGTCAGTTCCCTCTCCCACTGAATGTCTTGAAGGAAGTTCCTCATGCTTGAGTAGTTTCCCCCTTTGTAGTTTGGTTTTTCCCAGCCTATTCCTGCTACTCTCTCCACTTGGAGCTCAACTATGTAGTCGAAGCACAGAACCACATGATCACTAGCTCCCAGGGGCCTTTCATACATGATACCCTCGATGTCCGAACTACTCATGGTGAATACAAGGTCCAACCTTGCTGGTTCATCCTCTCCTCTCTCTCTTGGTAGTGTCTCTAACATGTTGATGCATGAGGTTCTCCAGTACCACATCCATCATCTTGGCTCTCCATGTTTCGGGACCCCCATGGGCTCCAGTTTTCCCAGTCAGTATTGTGTGTGTGTGTGTGTGTGTGTGTGTACTCACCTAATTGTGGTTGCAGGGTCGAGACTCAGCTCCTGGCCCCGCCTCTTCACTGATTGCTACTGGTCCTCTCTCTCTCTGCTTCCTGAGCTTTATCATACCTCTTCTTAAAACTATGTTATGGTTCCTGCCTCCCCTACTCACTTGCTAGGCTATTCCACTTCCTGACGACTCTATGACTGAAGAAATACTTCCTAACGTCCCTGTGACTCGTCTGAGTCTTCAGCTTCCAGTTGTGACCCCTTGTGTGTATGTGTGTGTGTGTGTGTGTGTGTGTGTGTGTGTGTGTGGTGTGTGTGTTGTGTGTGTGTGTGTGTGTGTGTGTGTGTGTGTGTGTGTGTGTTTGTATGAGTGTGTGTATTCTACCATGATTTGGTCCCCGAATTTAATCAACAAAAATTCACACCTCGCTGCCCAAGAGAGGAATCGAACACTGGGTATTAACCCGCTGGGCATGACGGAGTATTCTCCATCACACCTCCATAACTACTGGGCGGCAATGTGTTCAATAACTGTGGAGAATTTAAGCATTACAGAGAGCTCCCACACCTGCTAACACTCTAGCCTCGGCTATATAGGATTTTTCCAGCAGTTACTGACTGCTATTATCCTGTATATTATTGTGTGTGTGTGATTGTTGGAGATTATGACCATTTACCACTTGTATTTCTCTCTCTCTCTCTCTCTCTCTCTCTCTCTCTCTCTCTCTCTCTCTCTCTCTCTCTCTCTCTCTCTCTCTCTCTCTCTCCTCTCTCACATATTTTTGGTCCTGCGAACCAGAAATATGCGAATTATGAGGCGTGGCCTGAAGTTGTGACCCGACCCTCTGTGAATACCACTAGGTAACCACAAATTGTCACTTGGTACTCACCCTGAGGAGGTGCACGGTGCCAGAGGTAGGGTGCACGGAGAAGCAGGACCGGGTGCCATTCTTGAAGATGCCGTCACCTGACACACTATAGGTGAGATGTCCGTGACGACCGGCATCACCGTCTACCGCCTTCACCTGCTGTAAGGGGAAGGTGAAGAGGTGAAGCGTAAACCATACC